TGATCTGTGATGCTGACCGCATCATCAGCAACATGAAGGCAAAGTGGCCTGTTTTATCCAGATACCAGATACCCAGGATGCAAAAAGGATCTTATGTTTCATTTTAACCTGCTACCAGATCCTTTTGTCCAGTCACACCTGTTTTGTATGAGTAATGACAGGATGTGTAACAAAACAATGTATTTTTTTATTTCAACATACCATTTAAGGATTTAAATAATGCTGCTTGATGTAGTTTTTATGCCAGATTCATTATGTACCCAAGAATCAATTTTGAGTTTCCCTCATCCCAGACAAGAAATGGCAAGGCAAATGACTATTATTCATCTATCATCTGTAGAATCTGCAAAGTTTACAATAATGACCTCTATTGTTGATTTTTAAGTTGTTCAATGTAGGAAAACAACACTTTATATACCGATCTTTCCATTTAAGAGAAATGGTCAGCAAATATGTATATTAGGCATTTGGTTGATCCCCTATTGTTTGCCAAATCAATAACTCTGTCTCGACCTTACACCTTGACATAGCTTCACTTCTTAGCTTGGCATGGCCTTTGTGAAAAGGATGAAGCCAGGATCACGGGATCACACTTGGTCTGGTCTGGCTTATCTTTTCATTCAGCTATTGTAAAACTGGCCTGTAAGCTATATAGGCTAAAAGTTGTTGGTAGACAACAAAAAAGTTGTAAAACATACCTGATAAAAGAGTTGGTTCTCTGATGAGGGATTTGATCTAGAGGAGTGAACATGGCCTTGTCTTTACGCTTGATTTTGCCACAATGCAGTGCTTCCAGTTGCTTTGATGGGCATTGAACATGAAAGTTACATCTGTAGCGCCCCTAGTAGCTAAAAGTTGTTTGTGTTGCTTTAAAGGAGTCATCATATGAAAGTCGGACTTTTTTACAGAGATTTTACAGTTTTTTTCTTGTGGGCTCATTTAAACCAGAAATGCCTGCAAGAGCATGTTCTCCACAAAGCTCGAATATGATTCTCCTCCTATACTGAAGTCAATACTGAAGGGGTGCAACACAAGTTCAACTTGCTATCACCACTACCATCTCTTTATTACACCATAAAATGGGAATCCAACAAACAACAACCCGCCAGCAATGTAGTCAGTAACTTTTGCGCTTGTGTAACCTTTTTGATTCTTTTGTGTGTCTATTTTGTCAATAAAACTCTGTGAATAGATGTCCCAGCGCTAGTTGAGAGAGAAAAAGATAGAGACAGGAAAGAGCAAATGAAAACAGAACAGCAAAAATAGACAACACAGAGGATATACAGGACCCAGGATTGATAAAGATGTGACGCAAGCCCCAGATATTCAAAGGCACCCCAAAGAGCAGGTAGCCAACCCTCTGAAGTGCCCACCCTGCGGCAAGCCAGTCACAACCCTGAATCCGTATGACTACAGTGTTCAATAAAATTGGGGCATTAGCTTCACCAGCATGGGAGGACCCACGGCAATGATCTCTTCCCCAAGATCCTATGTGTGTGACAGTGTAATACAGCAGGTGAGGGGGAAGCATCAGAAATGGGGAGCAAAGAAGTGGGGTAGCCCACTGTAATGATCTTAGACATCTGACCCAATACTGAAAACAAAACAGGCAGTGGGAAAGTTCAATGCATTTATTTACACAAAAAGAAACCCGGCTGCTCGTCAGCTGCCGCGGACACACCGGATTTCTGGTTCTGAGTTCAGTTCGATCCAGTAGGAAGGAGCAGAATCTAAACAGGAGATTTGCCCACAGCTTGCGGCAGCAGCCACTCCCAGAGTTCAGAAGAATGAGCAGAGCTGATGCCAGCCAACGCTGAGCAGCAGCAGTATCTGTGAGGGGAAATTCAAAACCGTAGTCATAACAGAACCAGGTTACCAGACCAGAAGATCAGAGATCTGAGGAAGTACCAGAGGAGAACCAAGCCAAAGGCAGAGGACAGCTTCAAATTCGGTAAGCCGGCAGAATGCAGGAATAAGTCCAGAGCAGATCAGACTAACAGAGCAAAACAGGGGCAAAGCAAAAACTCGGAAGTTACAAAAACAGATACAGGTCAGGATCAGAATTATATATAGATGCTAGAGTTGCTCTAACCAACAGCTTGAATAATCTGGCACCAGTGAAAGGCAAACAGGCAGCATAAGTAGCAGCAGGAACCGGGTGGATCAGATGAAATGGTAATGAACAACCAGGCAAATTAGACGGGTGAATGGAGTACACAATTAAGCCAGCCATCGGCGCTAGGACCACAATGATTAAGCAATTTGCTAATGTTACATCCACCTAAATTCACATACACACAAGTTAAATTATTGTGCATGCTTTCGTGAAATAAAGAAAATGACTGAAAAGGGTTCTAAATGAGCTCAAACTAATTATCCATGAATTTAAAGTCAATTTTTCAGAACAATAGTATAAGAAGTCATATTAGGTTATGACTAATTTAAAAGAATCAAAAACTGATATGACTCATTTAAAGGAAACCCATCATATAAGAGACTAAAAAGGAAAATTACACATAACCTATAAACAATTTAAAGGTAAATCGAAGGTTTCTAAACCAGATATCACCCTCAGATTCATTTCCATCAATAGCAACACAAGCAGTCAGAATGTGCTGTCCTTGAACATAACAAGACTGCTTAAATGACTGCCTGAAAGGGTTACAATGCGTCTGCAGACCCATGCCAGTGCATGCTTCATACTCACACACCTTTAGCAGAGTGTGAGGACCTAATTCCAAGGACATCAAGGCACAGATGTACATGCAGTTCACACAAACTGTACTCTGTGGACAGTAGCCAAGGCAACGGCAGACCACTGACAAACACCTTATTGGTTTCATGGAGTGACTGTTGGCCACCGTGTCAAAGAGCATCGGGGGGGGGGCTGTTTGTGTGTGCGAGGGAGATTTCTCACTGGGCACTAATGAAAAGAATTCATCATTCTGGCTGCTGCCTCTTTATCACTGATTCCTGAAGACCACAAACAGATACACACGCCCAAAGTTATGTCTCACCATCCTTACGGGGATTTTGCAATGGCTTCCATTGATTTGCATGGCCTAACCCAGACCCTTTCCCAAACTCTACCCATTACCAATACATAGCTAATCCTAACACGTCAGTGCCTACAAGTGCAACATATTCCTGGGAAATTTTTATTACACTGTTCCCACAAGGTAACCTATACTTGGTCACTCACACACATCTAGCAAAGCCCTCTAATTGCTGCAACCAGAAAGAATGTGTGTCTGCATGGTTGGGGATCTTCTGCATGGGGGGTAGAAGATAACATATTAAAACATTCTTCCAGTTTCCTCAGATGTCAAATCGTTAAAAGACACACATAAAAACACAGAGCCAGCATATCTAAAGTGTGTGTTCTAGCATGTGAGCTCAGCATATAAAAACAAGCTAATCTGCTCATTGAGTATTCAACAAACCAAATGTTTTCCTTAGGGGGCACTTAAGAAAGTAATTATTATTCTCACTGGAGGTAACAATGATCTGGTCCTGAACCTCTCTTTTAATCTCTGCTTAGATTCTGCTCTAACCTATCTTATGGTTTATTTTTCTTTAAAAAATCAGCCTTTCCTCGATCAATATTACAAATATTTTAGATTTATAATTTTTTTGTATATACATAATACATACAGTACATAAAACATGCGATGTGTATCCATATTTTGGGATAAAGTGTAAGTCTAAAAAGTGTAATAGTGTAATCATCCTCAAGTAATATTTCTATAATATTTAACAACATTGTTTTAAAATATGTGATTCATCTACTGAACAACAGTTGGAATTATTAAAAAAAATTGAAAACTACCAATATATAAAACACAGTGCACAATAGCAGAAATGCAATCCAGGAATACACAGATAATCTGCACATGGATAAATGCACAGGTTCTGCACATTGTGACTTTACTATGACTGAGAGAGTACAGAAAGTAAAGAAAACAGGAAAATAAAGCCCATCAAAACAATTAATAATTTTTTGCACCAACTTCTAGTGGCAGCTCGCACAACCCTGGGGTGCACGCACCACACTTTGGGCATCCATGTAATAGATCATGGCATTTATAGTATTTTCTGAAGGTTAGAGTGAACCTGAAAAATTCTATAAGAATGTTTAACTTTCATCAGCTTCAGAAGTTTATGTTCCTATTATTTGAAAGTTAGCCTAAACTTTATAACTTGAGTCAAAAAATACTACACAAGTTTCATCCAGTTTGCTTGGATAATAATTGGTTCCTCTTGACAAATCTAATGTAACCAAGTCAAATTTATAAACCCTATTCCACCCATTAAACTCCCTAAAACTCTTGTCAAACATTTTCTATACGATGACCACTTCAAAACATTTACCTTGTTTTTTCTTCAACAATTTATACCAAATTCGAAACCACAGGAAGGGACATTGTCCATTTTGAAGACCCATATTTACCCGACCCTAAAGACAGATCTCATGAGATGTTGCCTCAAAAATCCCACATAGGAGTTATATCCTCAATACACCATCTATTTATAATGTGCAGAACCAAAGTCCCACACCACAGGAAAAATCATACAAAATGATAATTATCCAACTTTGCTTGGATACTTTTGATTTTTTTCTCGTGTTGTCACAGAGAACAGCATGTTTGAGGTACTGCATCAGAACATTTCCTGAGCTCACCTCACATCTTGCTTTTCTAAAGGTTTTTAAAGGCAAATTGATTTAAATGTATGTACATTTCTGTGAAAGGAAATTAATAATTAAAATTAAAAGTTCCACACACTTATACTGATATCGAAAAAATCTGTTATTTTGGTAATCCTAATGCACCTAAAACAGGAGATTTTCTGTCAGATTTAGTGTCAGAAAGAGGGGGAGATTATGCACTTTAGACCCTGAATTAATTATGCACTAGTTGTCTTTAAGACAGACATATAATCTCAATGTTGTAGTTATAAGATGGTTCATTTTATAACTAATAGAGATTAAAAAGACTTACCTTAACTGAGTCTCTGTCTGAGGAGGAAAATTAAGGAGAGACAGAAAGAGAGAAATAAAATTAATTGAAGACTGAAAACAATTTAGGTTTATGTAAAACAACCACATATGTAACAAATAAAAGACACCGAAATCAAAAAGACAAAGCAGTTTTGACCAGATAAAACACCCCAACTACTGACTCTCTCTGGTGAAGATGTGAGAATATCTTTGAATTAATTGCTCTTCTATTCCGATGACAGAATCTCCCTGAAACTTTCATGTTCATCTACAGCACTAAAGTTTTCATTTCTTTTACCTGCATTTCATTGGTCCAAAACATTTCTCTATCAAGGCTAACATATCTGCTGGCTCTTGGATTTCACAAATCTTGTGCACAAATCCTCTTGTTTACAAGATAATCATAATAATAAAACTCTTTCCAGCCATTGTAAGCACCCTAATAATAAACGCTTGCCTTTGTTCCAGTAATTCTCATGTTTTGCACTATGAAATTGTTATTTCTGAGACAAGGAACTCTCATTTTCACATGATGTTTGTATTAAACCTGTTGTTTAAAAAGATTAATGCTGCACCTTCAGATATTTATACATGTTTGTTTGTTTTTCCAGGTATTAAGCATCTTGAGGTCCATTATTCCCTTCCTGGTATCTTGATGGATTTATTTCGATGTTTACATGATGTCACACAAGGAGGAAGTGAGGTAAGGTTTTATCTTAAAATATATTCAGAGGCGAATCAACTAAACTGTATCCAAAGCTTAAAAAGCCAGAATAAAATAATCTGAGCCAATTACTCTTTTGGTTCTCCAGCATTTAGATGGATCTAATTAGAACAGATGCTCTCCCAGACAGGCTCAGTATTACTCATTGTTTAACCCACACAGAGCCAGAATTACCTCTTGTATGTTCTCCGTTGTTCTCATGGTGTTTCCTCTCATCCTTAAGTGGCAGCTGGTGACTCAGTGCTGATGATAGAGCCAGCAGGCTGGCAGTACTGGCACCCGGGGGCAGAGGGGGCTGCAGACCTGCTGGATGGGGGGTGAGCGGGACTGGAATGGCATGACCATGGGAGAGGTGCTGAGCCTGGAGCTGCTGCTGCTGATCCACATACAGACACACACATACAGACACACCCCTTACAGTTATCATGGGGAATGAAAATCTATAATATTGGCAGCAAACGTTATTTAAAGCACTTAGACTTTAACCTGACCTATGTTTCATAAAAATGTGGTTTTATGCCCTCAAAGTGTAAAACTAAATGAGAACACCCTCTTTTTGATATAAAATCCCTTCAAATGCCATATAGAATTGACTTCATAAGCAATGTTTGCACCATTAAATCCTAATCTGTTAAGTTGTCCAAGTTCTTCTTTATAATTATAACCATGACACTCTCATATGTTTCGAAACATTCTTTGAACTTTCCACACTAAGTCCGTTTGCATTTGTATGTGTGTGTTAAACTCACTCCTATAATGGCGTTGAGTTCAGCCATGGTGACCTGCTTCGCTCTTTCAACCGCCTGCACCACCTGCTGTTGATGCTAACCGAGAGAAATGAAGCAGGACGATTTAGAGAAAAATTAACTGGCAAAGAGAGAATGAGATCAGTAAAAACAGATATTTTAAATGAATATTTGTGGGGGGAAAACTTAGATCTACACTAAATTAGAATATTAAAGTACAGACCTTACTACTCTAAATTAAATCATAATTTACAACCAGGGCATCAAGCTGTTTCAAATGACTTAGAGTAACAAATGAAACCAGTTGCTCTACAGGAAACAGTTTAATAGAGGAGTAAATCTTAAAATAAATTAGGGTCTTTTGCTGATACAAGTCTAGGAAATCCCCCATTTATTATATAAAAACATGCTTTAAAATAAAATAGTGATCACTTGAAATAACCCATGTCTGTGTTTCTTTACCAGTTACAAAAAACACAAGCAACTGTGTTGAATAAACTAAATGAGCAGCTTCTCTGTTTTAGTTAAAACTGTAATCTAACATACTAACAGTGGCATGTCTGTAAAGTCACCAAATGCAGACTCTACCCTACCAGCAAGCTCAACTTATTAACTTATTAAGCACTTGAAAAAAATTATGTAAAATCAAGCAGGTGTGTCTACTCAAGTTTAAATATCAGAACTGAAACAAACGTATAGTTTGTTACCATCTTTGTAATTGTAGCAACAATGGATATAAATGTCAAACCAGAAATATATTATGCCATATATTTTCGTTTGGTGTATGATGTTCATATCATGATAGCTTTTAATAAAAATGATCATAGAGTGAGAGTCTTATACAGGCCTATCCCTAGGTGTGAGGTATAAAATAAAACAATGTCTTTTAGCAGTCTGGGAAGTGATTCCTTAACTAGTTTGACTCTTTATTAGCTAAAAATCAAGTTTTGCTTTCATAAATACATATTCTGCCAAATTCTAATAACAATCACATACAAGATAAAAATTTTCCCATAGTTTAGAATGAGCTGTTTATAAATACATAACAGTGCACCTAATGGACGATGCCATTATGTGTCGCCATCTTTGAATACGGTAGCTGAAAGGAGACAAACTTGTTTGTCTTGCATGTTCTACCTGTATATGAAGACTTGTCAGTGGAGGATAGATATAAAACACACAGTAGATAATTCTACTCGCTCTCTGAGTTGAAATGGAGTAACATCCAGACTCTTTGCCCAGAAAGAGGGAAAGGAAAATAACCATGAATAGAAAAAGAGGTTATAACTGGAAGATCAAGACAGTCTACATCAGAGTACTGTATCTTTTAACAGGTGTAGACAATTCATGAGGGAGCAAAGCATCAAAACAGATGCAGAGTTTGCAGGCTTCCTGCTGGACATGTAAGTTAATTCAATATAACAATGAAATTTAAAGTTGCCCTGTTTTCATGTTGGAACCAGGGCAGTGTTGTCCGGAAACTACTCTGTCTTCTCTTCAGTAATGAATAGTTTATTTGTTTTCCTACATTGGACAAGCTCCGTTGCAATAGTTATGATTGCCTGTTATTCTTTACAGAAGGCATACCAGTAGGCCCTTCTTTCAGCCATTTTTCTGGAAGATTTTCTATGTGATTCATTGTTTATTTTAGCTGATTTTTTAAGGGTGATGGGAGTTAATGTCTTCCCTCTAATCAGATAGAATAGACCAAAGTAATGCAAGTTTCTCATCGTAAATGATTTACTTCAGCTGAAAACATTTTTTATGCTAAAAAATATATAATATGAAAAGAATTAGGTGACGTTCTGCACTTCATTACTCAACGAGACAGTAGGAATGCAAACAGGATGTTGACTTCTCACATTAATGACGCTGTACAGCTTCTGTGGTAGTTATGCACTTAACAGCAAAGTAGCAGAGCCCTTAGTCATTGCAATTCTTTTAGCACACCACTAGATGGGAGCAAATTTTCTGCAATAGAGCTTTAATTTAGAAAATTATGGTTTGCTTTTCCAATAGAGATGAGTATTTTGTTTTTTATTGAATTTTAAAGACTGTTTAATAAGATCTTTGTGTGTCCTTCTGGTTTTTGGATTATGTTTAGGCTGATAGAACATCTCAAATATTACAGGAAAAAAGTTGCTTCCAAAAGCTTCATCACACAGTAACGAACATTTTTGTGGAGAGAAAGAGTCAGCTAGAAAGAGGGAGACAGCAAACAGAACAAAGTCGTGAAAAAGGGTAGAGAGAGGGGAAGACGGATGCAGACAGTGAGTAAGAGCAGGAAGATTCATCCAGGGACATCAAAGTAAAGCAGAGATGAAAGAGCTTATCAGGTGTGGAAATGAACCTGACCATCGAGTTAGGTTACATGTCGGTTCCCTGAGTCTAACCTACGTAGCAGAATGTGACACGCACACAGGAGAAGATTCAAAACTCTGATAAATACTTTTAATTAGCTTCCATAACATTTTCATCAATACTTCTAATATCTACAAATAAGAAATGTACATTACAAATTCAATGCTTATAAATTCTAATCATCTCTGTCATCTCAGGCCATGCAAATCTTGATTTTTGAAGAAAAACTATTTAATCTTAGGCAAACAGATCTCTACATACAGTGTTCAGTGTTTAAGTTTTCGACAATTTTTTTTTTTACATCTTGTCAAAAAATTTACACTGATATTGAATTTAATGTGAAAAAGTAAAAGATAACGTCAAATGGAAGGAAAATTAAATGATAAAAACTATTAAAATGATCACAATATTTTAATCTAATAAATCTAACAGTTCAAAAATGATCTAAAATTAGGAAAAAAAATCTTACATTTAGATTATTTACCCTTTATTTAAGTAGGTAAATAAGATGATTTGCCAATGGAATGAGCATTTTTACTCTTTAAGAAAGCTAATTACAGTAGATGTACTTGAAATAAGACAATGCAATTTTATCTTATTGTAAATGTAAATCGTTTTGCTCCATTGCCAAAGTACTTACCTCCTCAAATCAAGACAAAACATACTTATTTTGAGAAAAAAAAAAAAACTTATTTAGATTCATTTTTTGCAGTGAATAAATATAATCCCTAAATGGTTAAGCAAATACAAGAAAATTGTTGCTTGCCTACTGTGTGTATTCTAAGACCCTCTAAGCAAATACATAGAGCTCCAACTTTTGCTTTAATTACAGTTGCAGTGTTATTTAATGTTTCCCAGACATTTAAGTTTAAGAAAACAGCCAATCGATGGTAGGTTTGTAGTTGCTCCTTAATACAGGTTTATTTTGGATAAGATGACACATGAAGCAAGATGTCACATTGGATATTAGTAAGGGGCATCAAATTACAGGTAGTTGAATAATAATGAATGCTACACTGTTTTTTCTTTTTTTTTTTTCTTTTTGTTGTGTCAAATGAAAATAAGTTTGTAGCTATAAAGTTGCAAAATGAAAGAATTTTGAAAGGGTATAAACAAATATGGGTAGTAACTAGTTAGATTTACATAGGTTTCTTTAAGTAACATTTTGAAAGAAATGTACTACTATACTTTTTACTTTTACTTTTTAAAAACTTTAACTTAAAAAAATACTTTCAAGAAGTACTAGTATCATGAAGTATCACTACTCTTACTTGAGTAAAATCTTTGGTTATTCGACCCTCTGTGAGTAACTTGACTAAAATACAACAAGCTTATTTTAACCTAAAATGCAAAAGACACAGACAGACAGTTAAAAAATCACTTAAAGAGTTTATGCGGTCGATATATAATGAATATAAAATAAATCATTGGCACTGGAGGTACTTTATACAGTTGGGTCATATATACATACGCTTTAAGAAATGGTTGCATGTATTTTATGTTAGAAAAATGGGATTTTAAAAGTCTTTTTTTTTCTGCCTCTGTTTATTTTCCAAATATATATCCATTTTTATAATACCTATTATCTTTTTGCCTTAATGCAAAAGGAGTTTGCCCATAAATTTATATTATGGTCTGTCCGATTACATCATTTTCAATAGTAATACAGTTACTTGGTACTTTAGTAGTTTTTACACTTAATATAAATTTTTTTAACAGCTACTTTTTACTTTAACTTAAGCAAAAATATGTTGAAGCTGTGGTATTTTTATTTGAGTACAATCTTTTGGTACCTGCAAACCTCTGGGTATAAAGAATCTCACTAGGCTGAGTGAGCTTAGTTTATTCAGTGCAATGACTACTGAGTTGCTCTTTAATTTAAGTTTTCATTAGGTTTTCCAAAGAAATTAAGTTTAATAAATATGATGAAATGCACTTCTTTTTAGGCAATAAGAAGCATCAGATCCTGCCAACATAAGAAGTGTTGCTTTGAGATTGACTGAGTAGAATTGTAGTACCCCATGTTTAGGAAGCATGTCATTTTCAGTACAAAGTTAAATGGGAAACCATATCCTAAATAATTAATAGGTTTGAAAATAAAAACAGTGCTTCAATATAACTGATCTTATTTGGTGCATAATAATGATAATATGCAGCGTTTTTGTTGTGCATTTCATCTGCACAGTCCACAAGGCTGTGCACCAACACAAAGCAACTTCCTCTCCCTGCCTCCCCTCTCTGCAGGCCTCAGGGCTGTGTAGCAGCACCACAGTCTAATGCCATTATTCCTAATCCATCCTAAACCCTCCTAATCCATGGCTAATCTGGAGGAGAGCTTTCGGAGTTTAAACTCACTCGTCCCTGCTGTTCCCACCCCTCAACACACACACACAGGAGCACACACCTATACATACACATAGTTTGTTACTTCCTTAGAGGGAGGATTTATAACAGCAACACACACACTATAGGATTGGATAATAAACACTCGCATAAAGCACACGTTTCATACCCACCTCTGTATACGCATACAAATGAAATGTATTTCAACAAAAAAGTATTTTCTAACATGTACACTTCACTGCTGGCTCCTGCATATGTTAGTGGGAGACATTTGATAAGTTCACAGTCTATCTGCCTATCCTGAGCAGGGAGGATTAGCCTGGGATAATCTGCATGTTTGTTTGTGCATTTATGTGTGTGTCTGTATATTTTTTGTACAGTTTGCCTCAGAATCCACAATTTTCCCCCGGTCGTCTTTTCTCCCCCTCATTCTTTCTCTCACCCACCTTTTCCTTAACTCCCAGTGGCAGGAATTTTTCACTCTTACCTCTTGAGAGAGGAAAGGGATGACTTGGGCGCAGATTGCATTCAGGCGCTTGACGATCTCTGCCTGTAAGACAGAGGGACAGGCAAAGAGGACAAAATCATCAAATACACAAGGTGTCATTTTCAGGTGATTAGATGACTGAGCTTTACTATTTAGGAAAAACTAGGCATGGGTATCATTGAAAACCTCATGATTCAATTTGAGTTTTATTCATTGGGCCACAGTTCGATTAAATATCTATGTATCTGATTGAATATTTACCTAAAATCTTTGATAATGATTTTGCATAATATAACTATCCAATTGTTTAAAGAGTACCTTTTCTTCTCTACATGAATATACATACTAAACCAGTTCATATGTGGATACTTTTGAGCAATAAAATGTAAATATAGGGTAAAAAGGAAAATAAATAAGCATACTGAAATAACATTTAAGCAAGGTCGTGTAAGCCTAAACTTTTTTCTTTCTCTCTTAGAATCTGGCTTAATTCCCATCAACTGTAAAAATACTGTATTTGTAAATGCACACTTTTGTTGTGGCGCCACAAAAAAACAGTATAGTGTACAACAAGAAGGTATAGCACAACAGGACATCCATGGACTGAACAACTGACCCATCCAGGAGGTTTAAAAGGTAACATCTAGAATGCAATGCACCTCCCATTAGATGCCGACTTTACCTCTTACTGCTGTCATTGTGATCAACACTTTTATGGTGAGGTTTTGGAGGTTCATTATTGCACTGACACCTTATCAGGATCCTGGGAGCAGGAAGGAAGACCCTTTTAGAACCACTGGTCACTTTCCCATGGCATTTGACCTTGGTTTCCCCTACTTGGATTGGCCAGTGGAAAATTTGAAGCAGACCTGGTCTTGCTTGTTTCATTGTATAGCTACAATCGTATCACAACCACATCAGGGTAGCAATAAGTAATTTACTCTAATGCTCTTGGTATAACAGCTGGTGGAAGAAGTGCACACACCTCAATATTACACATATTGGCTGGTTTCAGGGAGAGTTGGGGGAAACATGTTTTTCAAGCTGTGTTTCAAATAAAAAAATGTATAGGTCACGCTCTCATTGGCAAGGTCTGGCATCAAATTGAGTAAAAAGGTGGGAGGAGGTCATGCACATCCTGCAGTGATCTTTGGAAAACAGGATACCCTCTAAATCAGGCATCCCCAACCTCGGTCCTCAAGGCCCACTGTCCTGTGGGTTTTAGAGGTTTCCCTGCTTTAACACAGCTGATTATAATGATGCAGTAGACCAAAAGCCTGTTAATCAGCTTTCAATTAAAATCAGCTGTGCTGGAGCAAGGAAACCTCTGAAACTTGCAGGACAGCGGGCCTCGAGGACTGAAGTTGGGAATGCCTGCTCTAAATGCTCTTTCCAAGCGTGACATTTTCACAATGCAACAGATTATATGTGGGGTTGTATAATTATTCCCATGAATGGTTGATCATAATTTTTCTCCAATTGTCATAAAGTAAACATAGTCAGTAAAGAATCTTTGTATATGTCTCAGACAAAACCCAGATTTTTACAGGTCTCGTTTTCAAAAAGTCAGCAAAGAAAGAAGGTGCGGCAAGGAAAATTTTCATAAATTGAAGTCCGCACAAGACAAGCGGTTGCTGAGACTGCCGGGGAATCAATAAGCATGCAAAAAAAAAAAGCTAATTTAGCTCCTGTTTTTGTAAATGAAATGCTTTGAAACATAGATTGAAATTCAGTATATTCTGAATTTAATAATAATTTAGTATTTTAGATGGGTCAATTTTAAAGACATTAAGATTAAGCAAATAATGAAATTGAAATCTTGTGATAATTGCTAAATATCTACTTGTAACTATAATTTTACTTTTATTTTAAGTTTTAAAATTAGGATTTCTATATTGACCTAAATAATCAAAATAACTAAAATAACTATAATATAAAATATCCCCAAATGATTTCTTGAAAACCCAAGGTCCACATCGACATAAAATTACAACATAAAACAATAATATTCGAAAAAGACTCACACATTTTTTTCAGAAAGACAACTGTCAATGTTGTGCCCTGACTGAAGGATGTAAAAACATTACAGACTTTTCCAGGAGCTGACCAAACGACACATGAACTTATAAATCAGGGTCCTTATATGTGCTTGAGAAGTCATTTAAAAGTCCTGATTTGTGCATTGAAAACTGATTGATAATATGATTTTAATAAAAAAAATGTTAATCACTCCATCACACCTAAGAGCTAGTATCTACATGCTACATTTCTGGAGGTTATAGTCAATCAAGAGCTTAAATAAAGAGCCCTCAACCAGTGTTTTCGTCAACGGTAAGGATGATGAAATTATTTCGTTGACGCTCCTTTTTTAACAAAAACTGACAAGCTAAACATGGACTAAAACATGACTAGTCGACTAAAACTATCACATATTGTAATGACTAAAATGCGGCTTAGACTAATAATAGTTATCGTCCTAAAGACTATGACTGAGACTTTACTCAAAGATGGCTGTCAAAAACAACACTGCCCTCAACAAAGAGCCCAATTAAAATATATCCCTAGACAGTTTAGGTGAGTACCTGATTTTATTTAGATGACTCCAGATGTCTTGCAACAAGAGGCACCAATCAATTCAAATGTTGCAGAACAAACTACGAATAACATAGAATGTTACCTAACAGTTAATCTGAAAAGTTAAACATGTATTTAAAAATTAGGATTGTACTATATGGAAATTAACTTTAATGATAATAACTGGTATCTTTATTGTGTTTAACATTTCAACATTGAACTTTCAAGATGGGAAATTTTAAACTTCAGATAATACGGTTAAAAAATCTTAAGAAAAAGAACTGTGAGGTACTTTTGTCCTTTCCTGATGCCATGTAAAGGGCAAAACTAACAATTTATCTTCACAGAAAATGAATTGCAATAAAAAAATAAGAAAAAAAACAGTGTAGCACCTACACAGTTTGGGTTATAAATGTGCCATGGAGGAAGCCAATAAAAGTCTTAAAAAAAAAAAAAAAAAGCTTTTCACAGTGAGAAAGAAACCTTTTAAGTTGTATAACTGAAGAGCTGTCACTTAAGATGCAGATTTGGATGTGGTGTCATGATCATCCGAACATGAATGAGAGTGTAAATGTTTACATCCCAAGCAAGTGTGTGCATTTAACTGTGCCGTAAGAACTGTGATTTGTCACAAGCAAAATACACAACGACTCTGCAATTATCATCACATTCATAACATGCATCACCCAAATTATTGCAGTTGGCACTACTGCAAATACCATCATTAAATTGTCTTTGAAACTACAAAAAAGCCTCAAGAGGAGAATTTGTGTGCACTAGAAATACTGTAGTGCTCCCACATAAACAAACATCATGAATGATGAAGGATGAAGCTTTCATCTGCTCCATTTTTATGAAATAATGTTAACACTCCCAACATTTTCACCCCCTCACAGTCAAGTGCATATTCGTCGGAGTACGTGAGCATCATTCCTGAGTGGGAGCAATCCATATTTGGCATTGAAATTCAGCATCAGCTTTTCCAATCAAGGTGTACTGTGCTATCTTAATAGGACTAAAAGTATTAAATATCAACACATTTTAGGTGAATACCCATTACAGCACCTATGAGAATGTCTATGTGGGCCAACATCTTCACAAAAGATGAAGTTAAGAAGTAGCTATAGACAATGTGAAATTTTAACCTACCTGTAACTTTAGGTGAGCCCCTCAAAAAGTTTGCAACAGAGACAGACTGGTTTCATAGGAAAGAAACAGCCTACAACAGCTTGCTAATTTTTTTTATATAGTTGGTCCTATAAATATTTAATAAAGCTTTAAAAAGCAAAATCCTGGGTCTTAGGTAAGATGCATGCAGCAGCTTGTGGGTCTAGTCAAGAATTGAAAGAGTTATCAAACAACTTGAAGTCAGGCAACATAGTATGCATGTGGAGGGCATTCAAAACAAAAGCAGATATACATTTGTCTGGCTTTTTAAACCAGTTCACACTGAGAGAAGATTGCAGTATGCAGAGGCGTAGCAAGAAAATTTTTATAGGGGTGGCCAGGACAACCCCAATGTGCATTGAGAGGTGGCCAAAAGCAGACATGCGCCAGAACCTCAGGGTCAATCTCCACTTTCCAACTGGAAAATGAACAAGCTCATTATCCATATTTTGCAAATAAAGACTAACTAGGTTTATGTATATATATATATATATATATATATATATATATATATATATATATATACTGCTGCCACCCTCTGTTTAAGAGAATTTTATGTACATGGGATTGCTGTAAATGGTAGGGGTGGTCAAAGGGGTGGGCAATGATAGGCTACCTCGGCCCCTGGAAATATGTAAATAAGAAATCCCTCTTAATGTCATATTGGAACCTACAGCAGGCTCATTATGAAAGTAAACGACTGTATAATTATAAAGTGTCTACGTACACAAGTTTTTCTGTCATGGTAGGTTTAAGGAAACCTTCACTTTACAGAAGAAACATGAAGTCCAAACTAAAAGTCGCCAGACTTAAGCCTCTACAAAGACAAAGGCAGTTTAAGACTTCTGCAAATTGGAGTTCCTAGATCCTGTTTCAGACTCCCATTCATTCACCTTTTGTGTGGTCAACAGTAAAAACACTATCGTAGGTAGAACAGGAACTTTGGACAGCTGTGCTGAATACAGACAGCCTTCGGATGCCATTACAAAAAGGAAAATTCACATGGATGATGCAAATCAAAACTGGGACTACCGGCTTCTAAAACATAACCCAAAATAATAAAGTTACACAAAAACGACTAAAGCTTTCCGTTACAAAACCCAAAATATATCAACATTGAGTACCGCATACGTAGCTTAGCTCTTCATTCTCATTTAAATCCCATGAGTTTAAATGATACACAGATAAAATCAGTGTAATTGGATGCGATCCATATGAAGTCCCTGCAGACATTTTTCAACAGCTTTCTTACAACGGCAGGCTTTCAGATTTGTCCTTTCATGCCTTATACATATCTTATGCAAAATCCGTCCTCATAAAAC